GCTGGCCTCGAACTCACAGAGATCCGCCTGCCTCTGCCTCCCAAGTGCTGGGATTAAAGGCGTGTGCCACCACCGCCCGGCTCAAATTTAAAATTTTAAAGTACTTTTAGTTCCTGAGATTAAAATACAATTACATCATTTCCTCCTTCCCTTTCTTCCTTCCATACTCTACCATGTACCACCACTACCACCAACCTGCTCTATCAAATTCATGGTCTCTTTTTCTTTAAGAGTGTGTGTGTGTGTGTGTGTGTGTGTGTGTGTGTGTGTGTGTGTGTGTGTGTGTGTGTGTGTGTATGCATGCGTGTATGCCTAAAGACATAATTAACCTTCTCAAGCATATGTACTTGGTATATGTTTTCAGGCTGACCATTTGATATTGGGTAGTCAATATGAAATGATTGGTGTGCTCTTCCCTGGCAAAGACTATTTCTTCTACTCTCCCCGTTCCTTAGTTGCCTGGAGTTTTTTGTTTTGTTTTGTTTTGTTTTTCTAGGACTGAGGCCCCTTGAGCTTTTCCCCTCCCACATTAACGTGTCTGTTGGTGGTGTGCTTGTTTAGGACATGTTAGGCAGTCATGTTGGTGAGACTTCATGGATGTAGCCTCTGACATTTCCAGGAGACACAATTAACTCCCTGTTCTTCTGGCTTTTACTGTCTTTCTGCTCCATCTTCCCAGTGAGCCTTGTGCCTTAGGTTCAAGAGTTCTACTGTAGATGGATCACTTGGGCTGGGCTCCACAACTCTGCATTTGGATCAGTTCTGTCTTTGTTATGGTCTCCATCTGTTGCAAAGAACAGTTTCCTTGATGATAGGTAAGAACTACACTTACCTGTAGGTATAAGGACAAACATTTAAATATAGTTAGGGATTATGCTGGTTCTAGTAAATTGATGTTTCTAGGTTCTCTTCCAAGACTCATGACCCTGGGCAGTTAGCAAGGTTTCCGGTACCAGGCATGGTTTCTGTCTTGTTGAGCAGATCCAAGTTCAGTTGGTGAGCAGTTGGTTACTGATTGTGTGTGTACCACTATTTCACCCTTAGGGTTATTATGCATGTGGTTGTTGTTTGGGGTTCTTAGGCATCATAGCTAAAAGATTTTAAAATGAATGCGTTCAGTCCTGTTACTAATGTGAATAATGACAATGTATAAAATATCTGTACATCATATAAATAATCAGTTTGTTGCTTATTGGCTATGCAGGTGGAGAAGATCTAGAATCTCCTGAGGATATAGACATCTACATCATAGACGACAACTGTATCCTACAGTGGAACAGCAGAGAGGCAGTGGACAATGTGACGTTCTCAGCAGAATATCGAACGTAGGTGACTAATTGGCCTGCTGGAATGCTAGGGATGATTTTTGTAATTTCATCATCATAACTAGCTTCTTTTTAATGTGGGAAGCAGTTGTTTGTTTCCATTGTAGGAAATTTTACATTTCTAACTTCCTCTCGGGGGAGACTGAGCTGAGCTGAGGGACTGCTGAGAGGACTCAGCAGGTCAAAGCACTTGCCCCAGTCCGAGAGACGGAGTGGGTCCTTCTTCCAGGACCCACTGGAAAGAAAGAGGCAATTCCTGCAAGTTGTCCTCCGACCTCCGCTCATTTGCCTTGGTGTGTTTGCGCACACGCGCACACACGCATGCGTATACAAAATAAAACATCTCTTGAGGTTGGAGGATGAGAGGAGGAGACAGTCATTCCCATATCATCTCTTCGTGGATGTCACATACTCATTAAATGTGTAATAGTGTCTGAACTGTCTTGACATGTGCAGAGAACCCAGAAGGCCGTGCTGGGTCTTGGGACAGGCCCTCAATTCCCATCATACACAGAGGTTTCATTTTTTTAAGAAATTTTAGGCTTATTTAATTTATGTGTGTGATTGTTTTGCCTGTACGTATGTATATGTACCATGTGCGTACCTGGTACCTGTGGAGACCAGAAAAGGGCATCAGATTCCCTGGAACTGTAGTTAGGGAAGGTTGTAAACCGTGTGGGTACTGGGAACCTAACCCAGGACCTCTGCAGGAGGAGTAAGTGCTGCTAACCACTGAGCCATCTCTCCAGCCCTAGGATTTTCATTTTAGACACAGTTCATACTCCTCGGTGTTTTGGACCCTACATTTCCATAGACTGAATGCTTTTGCTGGTGCCTCTATCTCAGCACTGACTTTCTGCTTCCCGTTTGCCAAGAGGATCGGCAGAGCCTCAGAGGGCAGGCTCACAGGAGGGCCCAGCTCAGGAGGTGCAGCCCTCCATCTCCTGCTGGGTGTTGGGACCCCGTCTGCACGCCTTCATCCCTGTGTAGGATGGAGTGGAGGAAGGTGTCAGGACTTTCCAGTCAGGACCCCAGTGCTTCCTCGGCCACTGTGCACTGTTGTTTCCACGTGTCACTGAAACAGAGAGTGACCTTACAGCTTCCTAACCATCTGTGGACACAGGCATGCTTATCTCTAGTGAGTTTCCTGTGCATTCAGTGTTGAGTATTGATACATTTTTTCTTTGTTTTAGGGTGGAATTCTTTCATCCAACAGCTGGTTTAGGTATAGTGGGGATGTTTCAAAGTTACCCCATAACAAAGAGCAGACAGCCAGAGTCTCACACAAGTACCATGCTTACCCCAGACTCAGTTCACGATCATCTTGTGCCCTCTGCTCTGGCAGGAGCATCACATGTGCATTGCCCTTGCCCTGTGTTTCTGTAGGCAGTCCCCCTGCAGAAATGTGTGTGACGAACAGCATCGGTGCAGTGTTATGTAGACTGAGCAAATCTGCCTTGAGTCTGTCCTCCGCTGCTGTGTGTGTCTGCGGTCCCTTTTGTCCATGGAGGTGACAGGTGTGACAGGGAGTAGATTATCATCCAAATCAAGACAGGAAAGAGTGAAAGGAAACAGATTTAAATGAGCTGGGCCACAGTTTGATCGGGGACTTGCCCAGGAACGCGGATGAGGATGAGGAGGAATTGAACTCTAAAGATTGTTGAGTCCTGAGTGAGTGATTTTACACGAGGAACCCAGTGGGCTGGGAGATGACTCATCAGTTCAGAGCACTCACTGCTTTTCTAGAAGACCCCAGTTCAGTTCCCATCACCCAGGTTAAACGGCTCGCAACCGTCTGTAACTCCAGCACAAGAGTTATATGTAGGTACCTATAGTCACATGAACATACCCACATATATAAATTTAAAATGTTTTAAATGAAATAAAAATATTTACTTAAATAAAATGAAAGCTAAAGTGCCCATGAGAGTGAGAAGTGAGGAGCTGAAGTGTGAGCAGACTTAGCAGACGCAGTGTGTGTTGGTGTGTGTTCCTCACCGTGTGCACAGGCAGCACTGATCATCAGTGCAAGAGTAAGCTGTTCAGATCTCCAGATCGAGAGCACACTCGTCTAAGCCTCAGTGCCACTGCTATCTAAAAGGACATTTGCTGGGCAGAGTGGCCCACGCCTATAATCCCAGCACGGAGGAGGCTGAGGTAAGATTATAGCCATGTACAGGGTCCTGTGCAATGTAGTGTCTTCTAAGCCACTCTGGAATACAGACAGAGTCGTGGTCTCGAGGGAAACCAAACAGAAAGACTGTGATCTGTGTAATGTGTCATATTCTAATGGGAGAAACCCATGATTCTGACCTTTGGAGGAATGGATTCAATATACAAATGGTGTTGAGTCTCTTCACTATGGTAGTGAGGCTTGGCTAGGAGAGGCCATTTCCAGAGGTGGAAGGAGGCCTCGAGGTACCAAATGTTTGAACTGTGGTACACCAGGTCATATGAGAAGAAATTGTACACAGGGTGTTCCTAGAAGCAATACTAATTTTAGAAATAACCCAAATGGGAGACCCCAACCTTCTGGATTATGCAGAAGATGTGGCAATGGAATTTATTTGGGAAAGAAAAACTCACAAGACAGAATAAAGAAATTTGTCGCAGGATCCTGGAAGGGTGAGGCACAGTCCAGCGCTCTTCTCTGGCGAGATCTGCCCTGGTCCGCCCCAGCATCCAAAACCACAAGGTAGTGTCTAGTATGAGCATCCCAGGTCTTAAGGGTCCCCAAGCAGCCATGCCCCAGGGCATGTACTTAAAGGTCATAGGCAGGTGTAACAGTTACCTGCTACCTCTCTAGGGCCAGTGCTTTAGGCATGGCTAGAATGGCTACCCACTACAATATTCACTCTTTATTTCATGAATATTGAAAGCCTTTTCTATCATGTACTCTCCTGAATGTTCAAATGCCTCAGTGGGCAGGAACGATAAAGGACGTGAAGTTACTTCTTGAGACCAAGCTTATGAATGAGTCTTGTATCTGTTAAATAGCCATGTTTCAAATTCCATTCTGCTGTAATTATTGTGTATGATAAAGAATTTTTTAAAGATTTATTTATTATGTATACAGGGCTCTGCCTACATGCCAGAAGAGGGCAGCAGATTGAATTACAGATGGTTGTGAACTACCATGTGGTTGGTGGGAATTGAACTCAGGACCCCTGGAAGAGCAGCCAATACTCTTAACCTCTGAGCCATCTCTCCAGCCCCGATAAAAAAAATTTTAAAAAAACATAAAACTAGTTCCCAGTGTAAGAAGCTCCCTTGAACACAGTAGCCATGTATTGACAGCTAAACTACATCTCCAGGAACATAAAGGGAGACAAAGATAACAAATAATGGTTGGTTGAAAGGGAAGTAGGGCTAATTTTATATTCAGCCATTGTATGCAGTGAGTCGCTTTGTCAGTCATACTGAGTCAAGGCATTATATGTGCTGGGCCAGCACTGGCCACTGAGCAACACTGCCACCACATTTTTATTATTTAATTTTATTGTTTTTTCTTACTATATTTGTTTGTTTGTTGAAATATTGTTTGTGGAGTCTTACTATATAGCCTAGAATGATTTCAAACTTACTGTTTAGCCCAGGCTGGCCTCAAAGTTTCAGGTCCGTTCCCCCCCCACCACTACCCGTCTCAGCCTCCCCAGTGCTAGGATTCTAAACATGGATCACCATTCCCAACCATGCCCCATTTTAAGACTATTAAACCAGTCACCTAAATTTTTCGGATTGGACATTTCCACTGGAATCCCTTTGTTTACAGTGACACACCCAGAGGTCTAAAGAGGGCTCAGCAGTTAAAGCACTGGACCCAGGGGACCCAGCGTAGGGGCTCGGCACAGGTCCGGCAGCTCACAACCCTAGCTTCAGCTGTTTCCCGATCTTTGGAACCCATGGGTTCCCACAGTAGCACACACATGGCCATGCACAGACACATATACACATCATTTTAAAAGAAATCTTTAAAAGACCCCAGGAAACAGAGTGATTGGTTTGGAAGAGAGCAAAGGAAACATACCACCTAATGCTGAGGTCTGTCCTAGAGTATGTTAGTCTATTCATAGAGGATGCTGGGGGCCACAGAAACATGAAGTAGGAATTCAGCTGACTGACAAAGCTAATACCTGGAAGAGGCCAGGGGCCTTCCAGAGGTCAAGCCAAGGCTCGGAGTCTTGGTGATACTGGCTCTTGAATATTAAGCCGTTTTCCTGCAATGAATTTCTTGTGTGCTTTTGTAGCTTTTCCATTTAATTCTTTGTCTAAGAACAATGTGATCATTCATTGGGCACAATTTCCCCATTACTTTTGGAATATTTGGACAACCTTCTTCCATCTGTGCTAACAACAGACACAGTCAAGACCCCTAGTTTCAAGCCTCTCCGTAATTACTGTCATCATTAGCAACATCTGGACAGAGCCATCTCTGGACAAAAGTATCTTATCTGAGAAACTTCCCAGACTTTCTAAGAACAAGACCATCTGTCAGAGAAGGTAAAGATTCACACAGACTATTACCCAGGCCAGGTGGATGTGCTAAGGAAATGTAACTTTCTCCTTTTCCAAATTTTATCTCTAGTTCCAGATCTCCCTTTAATAATTATCAGGTGCATCCTGCTTTAATAGAGGGTCAGAAGGGATCACACAGTACTGAGATCTGTCCTAGGATAGGCAGTCTATTCATAGAGGGTCAGAAGGCCATCATCATCAGATCAATTCCCAATCTTTAGTAAGGAAGTTAAAGTCAGAGATGCAGGCTCATTTCCCAGAAGTCACACAGTTGTCTTGAACCAGGCCATACCTGCTTTTGTCTCATGGATCATTTGTTTCTGTTTCCTTGAGATGCTAATGCAACCACTCATAAAATTGAAGTGAAAACTCTGTTAAAAATTGACTAAATGGTGAGGTGATGGTGGCATTTGGGATGTAGAGGCCAACAGATCTCCAGGTTTGAGGCCAGAATGAGTTCCAGGACGGCCAAGGCCACAGAAAAACCCTGTCTCAAAGAACAACAAAAATTAACTAGATATCTGACACGTTCAAGTAGTAGCTTGGCTCATCTGTATCAGAAAGGAATCAGAGGGTATCAGGTAAATGTCAACAGACATAATTATCTCAAGGGATATGCTTTTTCTAAGTATGATTTCCATTGTATTTTTCTGTCATTATGAAGCTGTCTCTGTATGTGGGCTTTAGTGGAGGTCACAGGGCAGTATCAACAAGTCTAAATCGTGATTGGGGTACTCGGTCATTCCAGGCTTCACAAGTGGATTGCTGACCACCTTGCTGTGAATAGCGCAGCTCATGTAGTAATGCAGCTTGGAGAGACCTAGTAAAGCACATAACCTTTGAAGGCATTTGCTTTAGCAATGTCCCTGATGGCAACAGCCTCTGTTGTTCCAAATGACAAATTTATGAATTGTCTTGGGCACAGTTTGTGTGGTGAATTGCACATTGCCCATGGCCTTTTAGCTGCAACCATTGTTGTTTTTGTTTGTTTGTATTTTGTTTCTGGCCCTTCACTTAGGCTCACACACTCAGCACATGTGACACTTTACATAGGAAATAAATTCTTAAGCTAACTATGTTGGTGAATAGAAAATGTATTTGAAACTTCTGTATATACATTAGCTCATTCAGTCGTTTTTTTTTTTTTGTTTTGTTTTGTTTTTTTTGTTTTTTTCTCAATTAAAAGAGAAGAGATGGAGAACTGGTTAAAATTGCCTGGGTGTCAACATATTACGGGGACTGAATGCAAATTCTCTTTGCTGGACACAAATGTTTATATCAAAATATCATTTCGAGTAAGAGCAGAAAAAGGAAAGAGCACTTCCCCATGGAATGAGGGGGACCCGTTTACTCCGTTTCTGAAAGGTAAGAAATGTTGTTGGCTGCATTGTTGTTCTCTAGGAAATGTCACCAGAGTTCTCTGTGAACCCATCCGTCTGCGTAGCGACGCTCCCTTCCTCTGAGGCCCATTCTTCTGGCCTCTGTTAGTGGCTCTCCAAGTGTCGTCGCCAGGAGCCTTTTAGGAGTCCCATAAAGTCAAGGCTCTCCCTGGTAACTCAGAGACTTGCCTCATTCATTGTGATATCTCTGTAAACACAGGAATTTGGAAAGGACACCAGACACGCCGTGTGAACGTACTGACTGCAGACATGGGGTCTCTGTCGCTTAGTCACATGTTAATGAGATTTTTTTAATGTAGAGCAATATGACACCTTTAAGTTCTTGTTGTTTTTGGAAATTACTTTTGAGCAGTGTGTCTGATAGCTTTATCATCTTCGCGAATTCACAAACCTTTTGTAATTTTATCTATTTTAATGGTCAGTAGCTGGATGTGAAAGCACGTAACAGTGTGAAGAGGCCTTTGACAGCCCCGTGATTTCTAGAGCAGTGCAGAGAGATCTAGAGACCGAATTCAGGAAGCACTGCCCTGTCCTGCTCTTAAAAGGAATGGCCTGAGTCCCCGTCTGTCATTTCCTCCCTGTCCCTTCTTATCACTGTCCGTTCGCTCTCTTCCTGCTCACGTGTTATCACTTCTGCCCACGTCACAGCCACCTCTTCTAACAGATGCCTTCCCGGTCCTCAGGCTCGGTGCGTCTGAGCACAGCGTGGACATGGCTCCTTTTCCTCGAAGCTCCTCCTCTCCTGGCTCTCTGGGGCACCGCTCGCTCCTCAGTCTCCTGCTCACTCAGTTTGTTCCTCTTTGTTTTTCTTTTGTTCTTTTCTCCAGGAGATTTCAAGGTTGGGCCGCAGAAGACCTAGTCATTAACCCTGCCTTGGCTCCCAGAATTCCCTCCCCTGCCCCATTGCTCCCCTGAGCATTAGACTGGTGTCACCATGTCCATCCAGTGTCTCCCTAGGTGTTAAAGCCGTCTCACAGTAGAATAATCAATGGCGCTCTCAGTCTCCCTCACAGCCTTTCCTGTAGCCCTCGTGTCTCAGGGAATGACATCCGCTGGTAATTTGCTCAAGCTCAGACCCTGGGTTCATTCTGACCCTTTCCTACATTTTATATCTCAACACATTCCGTCTGACCCATCAGGTGAGGATGTCCGAGACATCTTTGACCTTTTTGCCAAGGCCCTTGCCTTCTTCACTGATTTCTTGCTGACCCTGCTGCTTCCTCATCCCTTGGCGAGGCTGATCATTCTCAAACCTGGATGGAGTTTGGCTCTTCGCCAAGCTCAGTCCCCCAGCGTCTTCTAAAATTGCTGCCGCTTCCTTCTGCGTGGGCCCCAGCCAGGTCTCCGGCTGTTTCTGAGCCCCTTCCTCACACTCTGCACCCTGCACTGTCCCGTCTTAGAGACTTCACAGGGGATCCCCAGGGCCTGGGCTGCTTCTCTGCTGGGTGTGTGCACAACTCCATGCTTTATTTAGACTTCTGCTTGGAGGATGCAGAACAGCTTTCCTGTTTGTTCCGTTCCCTGCTCTGTACATGTTATTCTGCAGTGTGTACGTGCATGTCTGTGTTTGGGGGTTGCTCTTGCCATATCCTCCCAAAGTGTGAGACTTGTGAGGGCTTTCCTCTGTCTTACCACATGGGACAGACTTTTTGGTTTTTCAAGACAGAGTTTCTCTGGAGCTTTGGAGCCTGTTCTAGAACTTACTTTGTGGACCAGCTGGCCTCAAACTCACAGAGATCCGCCGGTCTCACCCCCCACCCCCCACCCCCACCCTCCCAGTGCTGGGATTAAAGGTGTGGGCCACCACTACCCGACAGGGGCAGATGTTGTTGTGAACATTTTGGAATGATACTACTGAAGTTATATAATTCTCCTCTGATGTCAACAGCTCACATTGGCCCCCCAGGAGTACGTTTAGAAGCTGAAGATAAAGCTGTACTAGTATACATCACTCGTCCCGGACAAGGTGCGAACATGTGGGCAAGAGAGAATTTTAGCTTCAGGTACAGGATAGTGATCTGGCAGAAGTCTTCAGGTGCGACAGTAAGTTTCTATTTTACCTTGGTTTGATGTGAGAGAGAAGAGGTGATGGAATTCTAAAATTTGACTGTATATTTTTTTATCTTCTTTATAGCAAATTATTGAAACCACAAATTACACAGAAAGGATTTTAAAACTGTTACCAGAGACTACTTACTGTTTAAAAGTGGAAGCAATGCATATGTTCCTTAGGAAACACAGCAACTACAGTGCAGTGCAATGTATAAACACCACAGGTAAGGAAGAGCTCGGCTGTAGATCAGTAACTGAAGATGACAGCCTTTGACTGGGCCATTGTCTCCTGGACCATGTTATGTGATGAGGTTTATGATGGGTTAATAATTATTAAAACAAAGCATTGGCTAGAGATGTGTGATTGAACACTTATCTGGCACACACACACACTCATGCACGCATGCACAAAGGAAGGAAGAATAACAGCACTTACAGAATCAAGTCATTTACTTTATAACTTGTGTCTCAATACTAATGAAAGTTAATTTCACTTAAAAGGTAAAATTTTTATAGTATCATAAATGCTTTTTACTTGCCTGTAATACCTCATGTAGTTGCCAGCAGAATGGTTGGTACCCAAAGCATGCCACTACAGATGAAATGTCAGAAATGAAAACAGCCTGAAACGCTTAAGTCACTGCCAACCTTGCCAACAGTTATGGCCAGGGTGTGAGCTGGCCGTGCTCATGGCTTTAATTACAGATTTAGTGTGTTTTGATTCTTAAAATCAAACATGACAACTATGGTTCAGTCTCACTAATTTAAAATGTATGTTTAATGGATTCTTTGGCTTCTAGTGGCAGATAAAATGCCTGTGCCAGAAAACCTAGAACTGGACGCTGATGGTGAGAGCTATGTTCTGAGCTGGGACTATGCGTCTCCAAACGTGAGCTTCCGAGCGCAGTGGCTCCCGTGAGTTCCTTTCCTGATTGTTCCTTTACCCAGTCTGCTTTGATTTCATTCATACGACTTCTCGTGCAACTTAGTGCACACGAACTGACTGAGAGGTGGGTGTGATGGTGGGAAGCGGGGATTTCAGTGGAGGTTCCCTGTCTCAAGGTATATGGTGGAGCGTGACAGAGCAGAGCACCTGACAGCCAGCCCTGGCCGCTGTGCACATCCCAGCTCATACACAGATGCATACACCATACCCGTCCACATGTGCACACGTGCACACACTCACTTGCTCACACACAAAGAAAAGAAAAATGAATGTCACTGAGAAGGGTGGTTTCATCCAACACTTGCCTTTCTCCAGCATGATCCTGTTGTGGACAGAAGCCATGTCTTGAAGCTGTATTACTTGAGGCAGCATCTCAGAGACCATTAGGAGCGGACTTTGACCTTTACACCTGTGTTAAGGTTCATCTCAGAGGTCATGTCCACCAAGATGTTTCATTTATTTCACTCAGCATGGCGGATTGGGTCCTTAGCTAAATCTTCAAAAGCCCTCCTCCTGCCCGATAGTGTAATCTGACAGGAAAGCGAAGCAGCTGCCGTCTCTCCAGGTCCTGCCCACACTCGTGGAGAGGATGGTAGGAAGGGTGCAGGAGAGGAGGGCAGGAGCCTGGGGGGTATCCTAGAATATTGCCTGCCACGGTAGGAGGGTGTCCTAGGAGAGCAGGACATTTGGACAAGAAGTGACTAGAAAACAAAAGGAGTTGTGTGGGATCAGGCTTGGCCCTGGGTGCCTATCTTACAGGTCTTTGGGAACCATTGGGAATTTTGTGCTGGAGGGGAGGTGGCATGGAGTCTGCTTGGGAAAGCTGTATATGGCCATATTCTGTGTGGGGCCTTGTGCTCAAGTGGCACCAGGCCTGAGGAAGCCAACTAGGAGGGTTGTGGTTCTGGCCTTACAGTGAGACGCTTTGAGTTGTAGTCTATTGGCCAGTAGGTTTTCATCTCTAGCCTTGGTAGGATGTGCTCTGTAATGGATGGCACGGATCTATGTTATGGCACTTTTGCAGGGGTATGTCGATGCCGCAACTTCCTTTCCAGAAGGGAAAAGCCCTATTTGTAGTGTTGGCTGAATTTTGTGACAGAAATATTCCCATGATGACCACTTTGAAGCTACCAGCTTGAAGTCTTTGATTGTGGACCTGGGATGATATGTATGCACATTATGCACTGTTAAGTAATGTATTTTAGCATATGATAGTTAAAAGTAGCTTCAAGAAAAGTTAAAATATAGGTAGGATTTCTCAGTTATGTGCTGGTGGCCTTTGGGAGACCCTGCTCCAAGACCGCCTCCAGGACATACAAAAGTTCCAAGAGTGCAGCAGGGGCTAGCTAGACTTTCCTATCTGGGGGAAATAAGGAAGCGCACACTTTCTGATGGTAACTTTCTCTTTTACTTCATCTTGAAAAAAATCTCTCTGAAAATCTGTCTCCCACAGCTACATTTTCCACACAACTTTATATACAGTTTCATCTCTTCACACAGCTGTCTCTCACACACATCTCTCTACCCTGCCACATTTCTTCACTCACAATTTGCACTTCTCTTCTACATCACTCTCACTCTCCTCTGTACACACATTTCTGACCTACATGCACATCTGTCTCCTCTACATCTCTTTTCTATCTAGCTATACAAGCTCTCTCCTCTACATAGCCACTCATCTTCTACACAGCTGTATCTGTGCACGTGCATGTACACACACACACACACACACACACACACACACACACCTTCAACAACCAAACTCTGGACAAATGTAAGTTACATATACAGGGTCCGACCCATTTTCATAACACATGATAAGTCACACAGTTTTTCTCAAGCTAGGGAGGTCATTCTGACTGGGCATAGTGAGTAAAGTAAGCATGTAGCTCTGAGTGGTCAGGGTTCCCAGACAGAGAGTGACATTGAAATTCAGGACGTAAACAATAAACAGTTAGTCGGCTGAACCTTGAGGTTAGGAGTATGTGCAGAAAGTTAATTGCTGCAGGGGTAATGTCTACCAGTTTCTTCATGCCTGACCTTGGTTTAACAGACACCTGGGAACTTGTCCTTGTGTGTTTTTATTTGCAGGGTCAGCTAGTCTGTTGTGAATTTGTCCTAAAGTCTAAAATCAGCTAAATGTGTAAAAGGCTGTCTTTTTAGCTGAGAATTTTCCAATGTCAGTCTTAGTAATGAAAAATATCCTAGTGTTATTTCTGTTCATCAGAATTATACAACTTCAGCAGAAATCATCTTCCTGACCATCCACAGCTGTAAGTGTGCCTCAGAAGTGTAAAGTGCACTACCACTGGGCTGTGGGAGGAAGAGTTGTGGCAGCACAGGAGAGAATTACAGACAGAAACAAACGAGTCAGAGTCAGTGACCCCATGGTATTGGGGTCACCCATCAGAGAATCAGTCATCGGCTAGGTCAGCTTGTTAAGTACTAGTTGTCACCTGCTGTATACTCCCACAGCCTCCAGCAGTTACTGTTACAATCGTGATGAATCACTGTGACCAAAGGCAATTTGAGGAAGAAAGGGTTTATTTGACTTGTACTTCTGTATCAGTCCATCACTGCGGGAAGTCAGGGCAGGAACCTGGAGGCAGGAGCTGATACAAAGCATGGAGGGGTGCTGCTTACTCACTTGCTCCTCAGGACTTTCTTGAACCCAGGACCACCAGCTAGGGGTGTCCATACCCACAATGGGCTGGACCCTCCCCCATAGATCAGTAATTAAGAAAATGCCCTACAGGCTTGTCTGCTGACAGCCTGGATGTTCTCAAGTCATTTTCTCAATCAAGACTCCCTTCTCTCAGATGACTATAGTTTGTATCAAGTTCACACAAAACTAGCCAGCACATAAGACAAAATGAGGTTTGAATATTTTTAGTAAGTTTTTATTTCTGAATGTTTATATCAGTTTTTTTTAATAATAATGTGTTTATAAACATGTATTGAAGAGATGACTTAGCAGAGAAAGTGCTCACGATGTAAACATGAGTCAGAGTTGAGATCCCTAGAACCCAGGTAAAGTCCTACAGGTGTGGCAGCACCTATAATCCCAACACCTGGGAGTCACACGGGGCGTTCTAGGGCAAGCTGGCTAGCGAGACTAGTCAAGTCGGCGAGCTGCACATTGGGTGAGGTATCCTGTCTCGGTAAAGTGGAGAGTGACCAAAATACACTGACATCAACTTAAGGCCTACCTATAAACACACAAACGTCCCCCATCCCGCAACACACACACACGGACACACACACACACACACACACACACAGTGAGGAACAGCTCGCGACACTGCTGAGAAGTAAGTACACGCACACTCTGGAGCATCCCCAGCTCTCCTTTGTTGGAAGTCAGGGCCTCTTCCATTGTCCCTCGAGTTTCTTAAGTGGGGAAACTGTCGCTGGGACCACAGCTCTTACCACAGTGTCTGACGTATTATAAATCGTCAATCCATACATGTTTACTGATTTAACGATTGACTTTAACCTTTGCTTTTGTTCTTCCACAGTAGCTATTTGAAAAGTATTTCTGGAGACCACTCGGATAAATGGGAAGCCATTCCGACCTGTGCAGAAGTCCGAACCACACGCTGTGTCTTTCCTCGGGATGCTGTCCACACAGGAACTTTCTTTCTCCGGGTACAAGCGTCAGATGGAGATAACACATCTTTTTGGTCTGAAGAGAAATTTATTAATTCTCAAAAATACAGTAAGTCAAGTTTTCTTTGAGACAGCATCTGACACTAGACCAGGCTGGCCTGGAACTCACTGTGTAGCCCAGGCTGGGTTCAAACAGTTGTCCTGCCGGAGCTCCTGAGAGCTGAGGTGCTGGGTTTGGTTCATGCATGCCTTAGGTCAGTGGTGCACATGGCGCTGTAATTCCTCAGTTAGCTCAAGTTGGTAGAATTGTTTTAAGGTGCCTGACTCCACCTTTCCGCTCCCTGTGCCTCCCCAGCCTCCATTCCCGCTCCGGTCATTGCCGTCACCCCGTCCCGGGATTCACTGCTTGTCTACGTCAGCTGTCAGGACAGCCCCAGCACCGCGTGTCATGGCCTGACTTATGAAGTCAGTTTCTGGAAAAACACTTCAAATACTAAGGTAAAAAGCCTACCCGGGAACTTTGTGACTTAGCCTCACAGCTGTGATTGGGAAAGAAACTGAGCAGGAAGCAAGAGGGAGAAGTCATGGCTTTAAGGTTTGAGGGAGGCCTTGTACCGTCTGTGACCGTGGCTGTGTGCAGCAGGATGACTGTCAGCCTTTCCGTGCTCTGCATGACAGGCACAGGGCCCTGCTTCGTTGTGCGCGCGCGCGCGTGCGTGTTAACAATGATCTATTCATTGTGTGTGCATCACAGGGCACACATGGAGGCCTAGGACAGGTTGTGGGGATTGACCTCAGGTGGTCGGGCTTCTCAGCAAGCACCTTTACCCACTAGGCCGCCATCTTGCCGACCGACCCTCCAGTTTGCTTTTTAAATATATCTTGAGTCTATTGCTAATGCAATTAGATCCATTCTATCATGATTCCCAAGTACTTTCCAAACTAAGGTTCCTTTGCAAGAATGACATTTGGGCCAGGTAATTCCTTGTGGTAAAGCTGTCCTTACATCGCTGGGCTCTCTCGGGTGTCTGTAGTGCGCCCTCAGAAGTGTGTCAGCCAAGGATCTCCAGATTGTCACCTGTCCTCAGAGGGCAGCTGCGTGTTGACAGAGCCTCGGTATGATGACGTCTGTGGATTCCAGAGTTCAGCGTAGCCCATGGGGGGAGAACCAGCTAACACATCTCCTTATGGAGAACTAATGAGAAGGTGTTGCTCTGAACCAGTCATCTGACAGAACTCATCCATCCCATGCATGAACCCCCGTGGAATTTCAGTCAAGGAATCAAGCCTAAAATCCGGTGCGGTTGAGATGGTAACTATTGTCTCTTCACGCTTGGTGGCAGTTTGAACAAATCCCAAAGCGCCGTCTGCTCCCGCTTCTGCTGTCTGCCCATACCAACTGCAGCGTTACTGAACTCATTGGGAATTGTGCTCAGCGTTGGCCAGGCCTGAGGTCAGACAGCTGATTCTGATCCCGTGCTGACAGACTCTGGCTGACCTTTATATGGGTTCCTTGCTCTCTAAAGCAGTGGTATCCCGAGCAGCTGGGGTTTCCCGGGTGTTGGTCAGATTTGAAATGGGGTGGCATGCGAAATACCTGGTACAGACTCAGTACATCACAGTGGCTGTGCTGTCCCACGGTGTCCCCATAATCACAGCAGCAACTGGTAGCCTGGCTGATGCTAAGGTTTTTACATGGCCTGCCCTGTCTTTCTTCATAACAACTCTGGGAGGCAGTGTTTGCAGTCATTTGTGTGGCGAATAGCGGTGAGTGTTGCTCACTTCCTCGCTGAGGAGACCGGGGGACCAGGCCTTGGAGGGAACTGCCCTAGCGAGTTTGTGGGCGAATGAGAAGAAAACGCTTTGAGCTGCTGAGCGTTGAAATGGCTTTGTTACCCAGCGCCATTGTAGCACTGACCCATACAGACGGTAGAGACATTCTCACTTCAGAGATCAGGAAATAGGGGACCAATGAGATGCTCCCACCGGGCAGCGCGGCTTGTGTGGTGATTACTGTGGGCCGCGGCAGAGCGAGGCTGGAACCCTTGCCCTTGACTGCCCCACCATTAGGCTACAGTGCGATAGAATGGCCTGAGGGAGGAGGCATTGTGTGCTGTTTTGAAAACAGATTTCTAACTGATTTGATTATGACGGGTCACTGAACATTGATATTGCTTAGATACATACATAGCCACTAGGTGTTGGGAAGAGACCATCATGAATAGAAAAGGAATCCAGAAAATACATATTCTCTGTCCGATTTCATAAAGTGACTGAAGCTTATCACTGATTTTACTATTTTATAGACAAAAGTGGTGAAGGGAAGCCCAGAGTTTACCATTGGGGACCTGCAGCCACGGACTCTGTATTGTGTACAGGCCAGAGTACACTCGTTTGCCGTGTGGAACAAGAGCAGCAGCTTCAGTGAGACGCTGTGTAAGGAAACGAGGCCAGGTGAGAAGCTTCTAGGTGTCTTCATGTAGTTAGAGGTGATAAAAGTGCTGCCCTTGCAGCTGGAGAGATGGCTCAGCGGTTAAGACCCCTGACTGCTCTTCCAGAGGTCCTGAGTTCAATTCCCAGCAACCACATGATGGCTCACAACCATCTGTAATGAGATCTGGTGCCCTCTTCTGGAGTGCAGGGACACATGCAGGCAGAACACTGTATACACAATAAATTTTAAAAAAGTAAAGTACTGCCTTGAGATTGGTGAAGAATTTCTTCTTTCTTCAAATGGTAGAAAATGTCCTTCCTGAACCACAGCAATCAGAAGTGAAACCAGCCGAGTCCTCCATGGAACACTCTTCTGCTCAGTTCAGTTCCTGTTTCCTGTTGCTTGCTCCTCATCCAGTGCTCACATGATCATTGTCTGTAGTTAACTGCTGCTCCTCATCCAGTGCTCACATGATCATTGTCTGTAGTTACTGCTCGTTGACAGACACCCAGATCACTCATTGGTAATGTTTCTGTTCTCTAGTCTTCAGTGAACTTGTGGAAATGCCCGTGCTTTGGTCTGCTTTGTGTTTTAGTTCCTGGAGGTCACTGGCTTAGCCCCAGAATGCTCTGCCAGTTCTGTGGGGTCCAAGCTGTGCAGGGGCTGGGGACACCAGCTGATGGGACCCCTCTGTCTTCTCTCCATCCGAGGCTCAGTTCTCAGGAATGTCTTCAAGTGTGACTGTCACTGCCCACAGCAATGTTTTAAGTGCTACCCAAAATGGTTCTCGGGACACTGATTCTCCTCTCCCGTGGCTGGTCTCAGGAGAATTTGCTGATGCTGGCCAGGCGGTGGTGGCACACGACTTATTCCCAGCACTCGGGAGGCAGAGGCAGGCGGATCTCTGAGTTCGAGGCCAGTCTGGGCTACAAAGAGAGTTCCATGATAGCCAAGTTGTTACACAGAATAACCCTGTCTCGAAAAATTTTAAAAAATAAATACAAAAGAATGTGCTGATGCTCTTATCATTTATGTGTTTTAGGAAATTCTTCCCAACCCTGGATTATAATTGCACTTAGCCCTGTGATTTTTTCTGCCCTGGTCCTGGTTTTATATGCTGGGAGGAGCCTCCTGAAATACCTCAGCTATGTGTACTTTGCATCCCCCAAGCCTCCTTCCAGTATTGACGAGGTGAGTTTCTCTTCTTATCACCAGCTAGGAAATGGGGGGCAAGTGTTTGGAGTCAACAGATGATCTCTGCTTCCTTGATGTCCAGAGAGTGATCTGGGATGATGTGACTGTTTCTTCAGAATTCCAGTGATGTAGAAGCCTGGCATGGTAGTGCATGCCTGTAAAACTCTGGAGGCTGAGACAGGAGGATTGCAGTGAATTTGAGGCCAGTGTGAGCTGAGTAGTCAGATCCTATCTCCAAAAACAAGACAAGGTTTTCAGAAACTCCAGGCCAGCCAGGCCTGCAGAGAGGCCCTGTCACAGACCAGGTGTGATGGCATGCACCATTAACCTCAACTTAGGAGGCAGAGGCAGGTGGATCTCTGTGAATTTAGGGTCAGGCAGGGCTGCACAGTGAAACCCTGTCTCAAAAAAAAGGAAAATCTTAGAAACAGTGGCTTAATGTGGAATAGCTGTTCTGTTCAGGAGTGATCTACAGTGGCTGTATTTTGTTGCAAATGAGCACATCTAAGAATGTAGCAGCAAAAGTGGAAGTGGACAGCAGACAATAACAACCATTAATCGGCACTTACGACGTCCCCAAGAAATGACCATGAAACCCTGCCCAGCAGTCACCCGGAGTCTAGATGCAGAGTCTGGGGCGGACATTTTCTCCATGAGTGAGGCTTCCGACTTCCTGTCCCCAGCACAGGCACTTGATGCCAGGGGTCAACACTGGTACCTTGGTGTGCCTTCTTGCTCTTCTCCTGTGTCCTTGTCACGGGGTGAGGGGCTAGCGTGCTCCAGGACGGTCAGTCTTGGAGGACACTTGAGATGAACATGTGTGAGTCCGAGACAAGGGGCCACTGATTCCCATCGTCTGCTCTACGGCACATGGCCATTTGCTGGTGAAATGTATGTTGCAGTCGGAATAATGACTTGTCCCTGACCTCTTGCAGCATGTGTCGTACCATTTGTTAGCTGTGTGGTTTTTCACACCGTATCAGGAACACCGTTACCCTATTATCCATCTGTCTTCACCTAGTCCTCTGGGTGAAGTCTCAGTGAAACCAAAACCAGGAGTTTCCTCTAATGGTGCATGAGTGTTTCGCCCAGGACTCCTGGGAGGTTAGCACCTGAAGTAAGAGCACTGAGTGGGGAAGGGCTAATCCTCGAACCTGGGACCCAAGGGACGATCTGTTCCCCCCAGGGCAGGGCAGGCTGCGCTTGAGAAGCGGGGATCAAGAGGTCGGGCTTTGGATAGAGGTCCAGGGGAGGGGTTGATGACCGTGTGAAAGTGAGCAAGGTCTGTAAGAGGAGTCCCTGACACCCGAGTTGTGAAAGGCGGGAAGCTCTCAGAGCTGAGCATTCTCTTCCCGCATGCTGGAGTTTTAAATTCCCTTCGTGCTCTGGGACTGACAGCCATGTTGTGAACAGAACCGGCTCCTTCCAGCTAGATCAGCAGGGAGATGTCAGCTCTCACGTGTGCTTTTGAGTGCTGGTTAACTGGACGCTGTGACTTCCAGATGACCATGATCCCAGTGTCCCCACCCCGCCTGGACAGCTCAGTGTCTGTTTAAGCATTCTTCACAGGCTGACCCACAAAAGGCCTCAGCCTGGCGGCCTCCCTGAGCCCCCTGACGCCCACAGGTAGGTCTGCTGCTGTTGGACACAAGAATTAGCAAAGAAGTCCGAGCTGGAAAATCAGTTTCTATTGGAAGCAACCTGTGCTCCTCTCCTTTTTACCCTTAGTTTTTCTCGGAGCCGTCTGCAAAGAACCTTCTGTTTCTGACGCCCGAGGAACACACCGAGAGATGCTTCATCATTGAAAACACAGACACGGTGGCCGTGGCAGGGGAAAGTCAAGCCCCCGGGGAAGATCACAGGAAGTACAGCTCCCAGACCAGCCAGGACTCGGGGAACTATTCGAACGAAGAGGGAAGTTCTGGGGGTGACAGCGGGCCAGGCCTCAGGCCCTCGGACTGACCAGGCCAGCAGACGCGACATCTCTCCACTGCAGACGTGGATGGCCACAGTCTGGAGTGAAGTGCATTCGTCTCTGAGGAGGCAGGCTTGACTGAAGGTGGCTGCCATATCTGCCTGCCCACGGCTGGAATCCCAGGGTGCTGTCGTGTGCCGCAGGTGTGGCCCGTGCTGCACATGCCATCTGGTGGTCTCTGTCTGTGTTCATGTTCTAGGGCATGTCTAGAACATGCCTAGAACTGCCGTAGCTCCTGAGGTGTCTCCGAGGTACTGCTGTCTACACTAGCACTTCCTAACCCCTAACTGACCACAGCAGCGGCTTCCGACTAGAACTCAGAGGTCACTGCAGCCATGGAGATCTCAGCGTGGCCTGGGGAGGCACGGTCCACTCTAGTGCGTGTGGATCTAGGAGATGCCCGTGACAGGACAGACATGACAGGACAGACGTGGGTCGTCAGTAAGCAGCAGCTAGTGAACTGGTGAGGAGGAAGACCACGTACAGTCAGCCTTCTTGTTGACGCCGTGTGGGTTTCGGTAGCCTTTCTGTGTGACTTTATATGGAGGCCGACCTCGCCTCTGTCCGGCAGTATTCGGGTGCCCCTCTCAGCATCCACAGTGATGCTCATGAGTATCTTCTGTAGGCAGGACATCTAGCAATCCCGGCAACCCCAGGGCGGACTGTCAGTGCAGGCGCGACAGGACCCCAGCCTTGCTCTCTAAGAGGAGCTGAGCCGTGTGGTGGCCCACACCTGTAGTCCCAGCACTCGGGGACGGAGGCAGGCGGAGCTCTCAGTCCCAGGCCAAAGGAGCAGATGAGGATGACGGTGTGACCTCCGCCCATTGCCCTCTGCACCGTGACACTTTAACATTCCAACCCAGCACTGCTCATCCTGTGTTCACCCCGGAAGAGCTCCTTCTGACAAGATGGCCTGCAGAGAAGCGAGGCCGTTAGGATGTGGGACACGAAGTGAGGGTGGTCCCCCTTACAAGTGCAGACACGGGTCTTCAGGGTGACATCAGCAGGTGAGGAGGGGACTGCACTGTCCCCTGAAGAAGCAAAGGCAGCTCCACCCGTGTGCTCCGTGATGGTCTGCATGGTGCTTCCTCCAGGGTGCTGTTAGATGACGCGCTCTCCTGAGCAGTCATGGCGCTCAGGATGCCGTGCGCGTGGAGAGGTGCTCAGTGGTCAAGGGCACATCCTGCCCTTGTGGAGGACCGAGTGCAGGCCCCAGCCCCACATGGTGCCCCGCAGCTGGCCGGAACTCCGGCTCCAGAGGGTGCAGCATGGGCTTCTGGTTGCCTCGGGCACTAGGCATGTGCAAGGTGCACATACATACATGTAAGCAAGACCCCCCTACATATAAAAGTCAAACCTTTTCTAGAAAAATAATTTAGAATCTAAAAAAAGAAATACTAGCTGGGCAGTGGTGCACGCCTTTAATCCCAGCACTCAGGAGGCAGAGCCAGGCGGATCTCCGTGAGTTCAAGGCCAGCCTGGTCTACAGAGCGAGTTCCAGGACAGGCCAAAACTGCACAGAGAAACCCTGTCTCAAAAAACCAAAAAAAAAGAAAGAAAAGAAAAGAAATATTATGCACTTGAGAGCACCAACAAGCTGCCTAAGAAATATTGATAGTTAGAGAAGCCCAGCACCATCTAAGATTAATGTGACGTGGCCTCGGTGATGTGTATGTGCAGATGTGAACGTAACGGGCTGTGAACACGTCTACACGCCACCCACACAGGTGACCTGGCTGCATGCCATTAGGATTGCCAGAAAGCACCTGTTAACAGTTGAGTCTGAAATTAGAAAGGCTGTTCTGGGTTAGAATCATTTACAGACTGAGCAGAAATCTGTAACCCATAAAAAAGTTCTTTTAAAAATAGGGCAGGCCCAACAGTGCCTGCTTGTTCCCTTCCCAGCTGCTGAGGAATGCCACATAGCAGAGCGCCTAGTGTGAGTGTGTACAGGGGGAGACGTGTGTGTTTGTGTATGAGATACAGAGCCCGGCAGGCTGACTTCCCACAGCCTCGTAGTTCTCTTGGGGCTGAGGGAGGTGTTCCCAAAGCCTCACGCGCGCGCGCGTGCACACACACACACACACACACACACACACACACTGCAGTCTGTGTGCCTGGCCTGCACTGTCCCTCTGTGCCTGTTTACTGCAGCCTGTATGCCTGGCAAGCCACACACACACACACACACACACACACACACACACACACACACACACACACGCACTGCAGCCTGGGTGCCGGGCCTGCACTGCCCCTCTGTGCCTGTTTCTCCTGTTGCGGAAGCCTCCAGCAGGGACTACGTTCCTCGCTGTGCCCCCAGCCCCTGTAATAGTGCAGGACTTGGCACAGACGGGGCTGGCGGCTACCGAGTGAGTGAGATCCGAAATGGAGGCGGGTGTTGGTTCTGGTTGGGGGTGGAAGAAGACGATCGTGTTTCTATGTTTTGTTTCTGCGCACCAAGTCTGTATCTTGTCCTTTTGTCCATTTGTCCGAGGCTCCTCTGCTGTCAAGTGGTTTTACATAACGAACTGGACCCCGAACTCTGGGTTTGGTGGGTGCTGTCGACCTGGGTTCTGTGTGCCAGAGGTGCTCACAGCAGCAGGAGACCGATGCCCTGTGGCCAGCATCCTGCAGATGGCTTCATGGGGTGAATGGGGCAGGACCGTTGCGCTCTGACGTTCTGGATGCAAACTGCTGTCGCCTGTGTTTCTGTCCCTCGCCCTCCATCTCACGCGTCCTGAGGGCCCTTCTGCTCTACTCAGGAGGCTCGGGGTGAGGGTGACTTGTATTGTCAGTTTCCTTCCTCACAGTGGAGGAAATAATAAACTCGTCTGGATTCCTGACAAGTGCCCTGTTACTTGGTGACAGTGACAGATCCCAGTTGTATTCAGACTTTGGTTTACAGTGCTCCTGACTCCTCCTAGGTGAACGTGAAGAACTGTCACCACCCAGGGTTAGGAACCAACAACAGACCAAAAAGAGGTGCTGCCTAGTCGGTGGTTCTCAGCCTGTGGGCCTGGACCCCCTTGGTAGTCGAAGGACACTTTCACGGGGCTCTAATATCAGGTATCCTGGATACCAGATGTTTACGATTCATGACAATACTGAAACTACAGTTATGAAATAGCAATGAAAATAATTATGATTGGGGGTCACCACAACAGGAGGAACTATCTTTTGGTTTTGGTTTTTGGTTTTCAAGACAGGGTTTCTCTGTGAAATAGTCCTGTCTGTCCTAGGACTCACTCTGGAACAGGCTGGCCTCAGCCTCCCGAGTGCTGGGATAAAGGTGTGCCCCGCCACCGCCTGGCCTGTGAGGGCTGTGGTAACGGGTCGCAGCGTTGGCAGGTTGAGAACCAGTGTCTGACTTGCTGAGCCAGTGAGTTTATTCAGGGGTCTCACCCGGGCTCGCATCTCAGAGCCCCTGTCTGACTTGCAGGCAGTTCTGCTGGGGGGGTGTGTCTCCCCCCTCCTCAAGCAATAGTTCCTGCTTTTGGAATCTCACTGAGGGTCCTGGGATCCCATGACTTCCTGAGCCTTGAAGGTTTCCTAGCTTCCTTAATTTTGGAAGCTCCTATCCTTCCAGGAGGGAATGTTTGAATTCATTACATTCGAAACTCACTTACCCTGGGCGGCGGCACACGCCTTTAATCCCAGCAGTCAGGGGGCAGAGGCAGGCAGATCTCTTGAATTCCCGGGCCAGCCTGGTCTACGGAGTGAGTCCCAGGACTATTTCACAGGGAAACCCCATCCTCCTCTCTCTGTCTCACTTTGTGTGTCTCTGTCTCTCCCTCCTCCCCCTCCTCCTCTCCCACCCTCCTGTGTCTGTGTGTCTGTCTATGCTGCATGTGAGCACACACTTGGGCATGAATGTGAGCATGCAGGTGTCACAGTGTTCACACCTGTGCCCAAGTGTGGAGGTCTGAGTGGGACATGTGGCATCTGCCTCTGTCTCCACCTGTCCTTAGACAGAAGTGGCATCTGCTTCTGGCTCCACCTGTCCTTAGAAGTGGCATCTGCTTCTGGCTCCACCTGTCCTTAGGCTCGCTCACAGAAGAGGAAGCTCATGGTTCTGGCTGGGGTGGTTGACCAGTGAGCTCTGGGGATCTGCCTGTCTACCCCAATGCTAAGACTGAGCGTGAGCGGTGGAGCCTGGCTTTTCTGGTAGGTGTGGAGGTTTGCGCTCAGTTCCTCAAGCACGCAGACCAACCACTCACCCTGTGGACGGTCTCCCCGGACCACCTCCAGCTTTTCTTACAACCTCTCTCGGGCTTAGGATGACCACAGAGTTACCAGTCTCAAGGGCAGCATAAATACATGTGCATTTGGGTGACGGACTGGTTATATTAACAGGATAAACTATCTTTTTCTCTGTCTGAGAAGAAGAAAGGCAGGAAGGTGTTTCTTCCTAGTGGCCTGCAGGTCCCCGCCCTGTCTGTGTGTCGCCCCCAACCCCCTCAGCCTGTCAGCAGAAGACATTCTGCAAAGGAGCTAATGTTGGAAATGAAGAAAGGAGATTGGCAGGGTAGATAGTCTGGCTTTGGGTGGGGAAGAGTAAATTGGGAAGAGGAGAGGAACCGAAAACACACCCCCACCTAAGTTTTCTGGATCCATCACGGAAGAAAAGAGATCAGTTGTAGGTTCCTGACAGAAAGCTCTTTTTCAAGATGAGTCCTAAATGACTTAAGAAGACGTTGTTGTTACTGTACTACCTCCCCAATTTCACAGCGACTTTTAGTATTCTAGGGCTTGACTTACACAGACAGCCATGGTCTGTGCAGGTCTGTCGTCCACGGTGAGGTTCCTGAGAACTGTACCACCTTCACACGTGGAGGTCAGCATTGCACCCATCTGACCTGCAGTTCTGTGGAGCATGCTTCCTGGAAAGAGCATCCACCGCATTTTACAGAACACCTCCTTCCAAGACCGATCCTGAAAATAAAGATCCTTTTCTTTTCCCCTTTCTTTCTCTGCCTCTGCTGGAGACTTCAGTGGCGACTGTTAATGCATGCTTGTGCAAAGTCCATGCATTGACGGGGTTCGCCACTAGAGGGCAACAAGTCACCGTTTGGGCTCCACTGGCCGCAAAAGGGTTGTTGGTCCTTTGTTTGGTGTTTGCTTCCTTCCTTTCTTTTCTTTCCTTTCTTTCTTTCTTTTTTGAGACAGGGTTTCTCAGTGTAGCCCTGGCTGTCCTGGAACTCACTTGGTAGCCCAGGCTGGCCTCAAACACACAGAGATCCACCTGCGTCTGCCTCCCGAGTGCTGGGATTAAAGGCATGCACCACCCAGTATGTGTTCGTTTCTTTAATGAGATAAGGTCTCACTGTGCAGTCCTAGCTGGCCAAGAATTGACTATGTGGACCATGCTGGCCTGGGGCTCACGGAGACCCTCCTGACCCTGAGTGCTGGGATTAAAGGCGTGCACAACAAGCCCTGCTTAAGGAAAAGATTTGTAAGTGGCTGCCGTGATTGAAGGCAGTATGTACCATGCAGAGTTGCCAGATGTAGTAAGTAAAAATAGGGAACACCCATTCCATTGAATTACATTTAAATTTCATGGAAGTTTAGCCTGGATATTGGTGGGCTAGCCTTGGCTAGCCTTGCACTGAGCTCTGAATATACCAGCGTACAGAGACAGTTGGGACTTTTTGTGTAAAAGCACCATTCCCTCTTTGAAATTGGGATTCTGCCACATAAACACAGACAAATTCCTGGATTACATGTGAGTTTCAAATAATCTTTTAATGTAAACTTGTCCCACATAATATTTGAGTCATCTATCAACCCTGGTGAAAAATACCTAGATATAACTTTTGTCTGATATTGGGTTCTGATGTTAGTGTGGCTATTGTAGCTGCCTTTGGTTATTATTTGCATTATGAATTCTCCCATCGTCCGAGGCTAGCTGTATTTTAGCATATATCAATTATATAAAAATGGTTTTATTATAACACTATTTCTTCGTTAGTTTAGACAGGGTCTTGCCACGGACTGGCCCATCGGGGGTACCACGACCGTTGGGGGACCAGCGCTTGGGTAGTCAGGAAGGCAAGGATTCAGTGAATGACAGACAACACACTCAGAAGTGGTTTGAATCTGCTGCAATTTTACTTCTGCAAATCAGTAGTTTATATACAGAAGAGAAAACTATCAAGTCATACAAGGAACAACAAGAGCTTGGCAATAATTCAATTACATCAGCTTTAAAAACAGTAGGCATATAATTATTAGTCGGCGCTAGACATATCCCTTCACTCACAAGAACTTTATGACCCCAAGAGCAGTCTGTGTTTTTTAAACTTAGTACAGTCCCTAGACTTGTGAAGGCTTCTTTGCTCTTGTGGCTGTGTCCTTCATCTTTATCTCAGCCGCTCGCTAGTTTATTATTCATTTTTACTTTTCTGGTTCTCATGACTCATTTAGCCAATTTGGATGCTGCAGATCCTCCCTAAGTCTTTCTTCAGTTCTTTACCATATATCTCTTCTAATATAAAACCTTTTTACCTGCTGGAATATGGACTCTTGTACTTTTTATGCCTGTAAGGGGAAGGGGTTCTGTTGTAGTCCTTAAGTTTCCCATGCTGAACTTCCTCAACAGAGGGGCCCACCATCTGCCTCCTATGAGATAATGTTTTCTGCCATAAATCACTTTAGTTGGAATTCCTAAAGGATTCCTAGTGGGTGAGTGTTCATTCCCTAGAAGTGCCTGAACTATTATACTTTCTGTTATCTAGCAGCTTGAGGTCTTTAAGGAATAGTTCATTCTGCTACATCTAAATAAGGTCCATGTTCAGCTTCCCCTTTCCTCCATAGTTCACAACCCAAGCATTTATTAATTTTGGCTGTGTTTTATAGATTAATTAGAACATTATCATAAAAGCAGTTATACAGAACCCATAGCCCAGGGAGCTCATGATCCGTGAGCATGTCTCCTTCAAGAAGGAAGCATAACACGGGCACTCTGCCAGGGACCTCCAGGGAGCTTAGTCCCGTGGGACACGTATCTCCCGTCCGCTATTGACCTAATTGTTCATGTCACACAGACGACACTGAAGTGGGTGTGGCAGGGTCTCCCGTGGCTGAGGATGACCTTGAACTTTTGGTCCTCCTGCCTGTACCTTCAAGTGTTGAAATTATAAGCACATGCCATCACGCCCAGTTTGGGTGATGCTGGGTATCAAACCCAGCACTTGGTACATGCGAGGCAAGCCTCTACCACCTAAGCTACTTCCCCAGCCCTTTTGATATTTCTATGCATGGATATAACATACCTTGGTCATACTCCCAGGGTGGGTACATTTTAGTTTGCTTATGTTTGTATGTGTATCTGAAGATTCCTGCCATGAGTGTAGGTGTACCACTGCAAGCAGGAACCTTTGGAGACACTGGCCCCTGGAACTGGAATTTCAGATGGTTGTAAAACGCCAGCCATGTGCTGGGACTCGAACCCTGGTCCTCTGGGACTGCAACAGTGCTCTTAACCTCTGAGCCATCTCCAGCTAGGGTGGGTATTTTTACAAAGCATCTCAATTGACTCTGAATTGAAGTCAGGGTTAACCCCAAAACAAGCCGGGCAGTGGTGATGCTCGTCTTTAATCCCAGCATTCGGGAGGCAGAGCCAGACGGATCTCTGTGAGTTTGAGGCCAGCCTGGGCTACAGAGCAAGATCCAGGATAGGCACCAAAACTACACAGAGAAACCTTGTCACAAAAAAAAATAAAAAAGCCCTCCAGCTGGGGAACAAGAGAAACTGCCATCCCGCGTGTTTAATACAGGTTCCTTAGACTTGAAAAATGTCTGGACCCCTTGAAAGAATAAAGCTGCTTGGGTATCTCCCAGTGTC